AGTCAGCCGCTGGTCAGTTTCAGCAGCGGCTGAATCTGGACACCAGTTCCGACTTACATACAAATTCAACTTAAGAACAAACCTACAGTCCCTATCTTGTACGTAACCCGGGGACTGCCTGTATTTATCTCAGACAATTTCTGCGAATGGTACTCTAGCCATCTTTTCACCTGGGGAAGAGAACAAATACAGCCTCTAATACATCTTGGCCACAGGGAGAGAATGCTTGTTTCAGAGGGTGGAGGGACATATAAGCAGGGGAGGCAGACATTTTAGACCTGATTCTGATCAACAGAGAGGGATTGCTTGTGAATCTGAAGCTAGAAGGCAGTTTGGGTGATAAAATTGGTAATTCCTAAGCAGAGGGAGGAAGGAGTAGTAGAACAAGGACAACAGATTTCATAAAAGCAGACTTCAACAAAACAACTGGTAGATACAATTTTCGGTAAGAACACCTAAAGGAAAACGTGTCAGGAGAGCTGGCATTTAGAGATTAAAGTGGGGGAACTGTTTTTGGGTCAGGAGTCACTGACCCACAGAAAAATCAGTTGGGGAGCCACACTAGGGGCAGGGTTAATTCTTCTGGGGGCTGGGTTTCCCTCTAGGACTGGGTTGGTAAATTTGTCAACCCTCCCCCATTTGGCTCCAGGGATGGGGCCAAAAACGATGGGGTCAGTGTACAGGAGGGGGCTGACAGGAAGTGGAGTGGAGAGGGAGTACTGGGTCTGGGCCAGAGGTAGGGGGCAGGAGTGAACAGAGGTTGGGTGTCTGAGAAGGAGATTGGGGACAGGAGATTGGGGTGCTTACCTGGTGCAGCCCCTCTTTGGTTGTAGACACTGTCCCCTGCTGCTCCCATTGGCCACCATTCCTGGCTAGTGGAAGTGATGGGAATGTAGCCTGCAAGCAAGTGCAGGAAGAGAAATTCCCTATGCTGCTGTTCCCCTCAGCTCGGGGGAAAAGGGGCAACAGGAGCAGGCAGAACCACTTCCTTCCCCCCCCCCCCCCCCCCACCAGCCAGAGCCAGCCACACAGGAGCTTCAGCACTTACTCTCTGCTGTTTTCCCCCGCAGTAGGGAGCCAGCACTTGGAGACTCAGTGTGGGGCTGGAGCATTAGCACCAACTTGCCCTGCTGCAAGGAAAAGCCCTGACCCTCACCACAGGCCAGATCAAAGCAAGCCAGGGGATGGATCTGGTCCATAGTTTTCCAATCCCTGTATTAAAGGTGTAATAGTAGACTACCCAGGAGAGAAGGAAAGATTGGAAAAATATTAAGAGGCTAATGTGGCTCCATTAAGAGCTCTTAAGTTCTCTAAAAATCAAAGGGAATCCTACAAAAAGTTACTCCTTGGAGAATTGTATGCCAAAAAGATGAAAAAAAAATCTACACACAATTTTAAAATTCTGCATTTCTTATCGATAAACTAGGCAAATACAACTTAGATGGGGCTACTATAAGGTGGGTGCATAACTGGCTGGGTAACTGTTCTCAGAGAGTAGTCCAGGGTTGGAGCGCACTCAGAAAAAAGCTGGGGGGGTCCATGCTCAGTAACTCCTCCCCTGCCTTACCAGAGTTTCTGGAGCAATGCAAACAGCTCATTTGCAGTGTTCAGGCTCTGGAGGGGAGAGTGGGGACTGATTGGAGTGCTTGGAGGAAAGAGGCAGGGTGGCTGATGAGCACAGCCCCATAACTGCATCCAGGGGCCCTCATCCTAGCTCTGTCAATACTAGCCCCTCAGTTGACCATCACTGGCCAGATACATTGCCAGGTTCGGGACTAGTCAGGTGGCCCCAAGAGTGCTGAACCAGAGGGGTTCAACCCATATTAAATAGTTAAGTTAAATGCTAGGCAGAAACGAAGTCCTGGAGCAAAAGTCAACCTTGAAGAACTATATTAAAATTATTTTTAAATACATTTTTTTTTTTTTTTGCTTTGCAGAATTTTATTCAGAATGACTGGAGTTTATTCTCTCTAGATATGTGCTCATTTTTTCCCAAGGGATGGCAGAATGTCATCTGCATCTACACGTTCCGCTTAAATGGATTCCCTGCCATACTGTTCGTGGGCAGATTCTGCTTTCCAAGGGTCCTACTTGCTCAGTTCTGGCTACAGCCTTTTGGGCAACCTGTCCCCTGGCTCAGGGACTGCTTTGGCTGGTGTGAGGCCCAGGGCGCAGCTCACTTGTACCAGGAACGGAGGCAGGCTCCCATGCCCTGGGATGCTATGACTTGCTCTAAGGCCGCTTGCTTGCACCACTGTTCTTGGTGCTCATGGGCTGCTGGGCCAGTAGGCTCAGGAGAAGTGCGAGGCACCCCACGTCCCCAGCCACTGGCCACCCCATCCACTGCTGCGCCCTGTGTGACTATGTCCCGAGCCCAGCACTGAGCCATCCTGGTGAGACCCAAGCCCAGCCTGGCTCCCTCCCGTCCAGCCATGAGTGGGGCTTGCAGCAGTGAGCGGTGCTTCTACAAGGTGGGCAAGGAGGTGTCCAGCAGCATTGACCTGAGTGACCTGGGCCCCCTTTGCCTGGTGCTGCAGTCCCACCCTACTTCCTTCCCTGTGCAGTTGGAGCACCAGCGCTGGCTTCCCAGTGGGGGTTGGAGAGAAAGCCCTGAGCCTTGCTGCATGGGGAAGAAGTGCTCCTGGGTTGAGGGAACAGAAGTGTGCTGGCACACTGCCTGGAGACTTTCCCAGCGCTCCATTGACCAGATTCTGGCTAATGGGAGCAGTGGGGAACCAAGTCTGGGGCTAGCATAGGGCCCAAGTGAAGTATCCACAACCCCCTCATGCCCAGACCCTGTACCCCCAGCCCACTCCTGCTCCTCGGTCCTGACCAGACACCCTGCCCCCACCCTGCTCCTGCCTCTCATCCCCAGCCCCTTCACTTGCCCCCTCTGTCAAGCACCCCCCCATAGTTCCCTCACCCACTACGTCCACCAAGACCCTGCACTCCCAGCCCACTCCTGCCCCCTCCCACCTGCCCAGACACCCTGCTCCTGCCCCACAGCCCCAGCCCACTCACCTCCTCCTACCCCGTGTGGCTGAGACACTACGCCTCAGCCTGCTCCTGCCTCCTCCCCTGCTTCTGACACCCTGCACCCTTCTTTGCTCCTGCACCCTCTCTCCTGGCCAGACACCCTACCTCCCACCCAGACCACTCACCCTCAGCCCCTCCTACACCCTACCTCCTGCCCAGATTCTGTGCCCCCTGTCACACCCCTCACTTTTGGCCCCACCCCAAAGCCTAGAGACCCACCAAATCCACTAACCCTTGAATCCCAGAAGAGTTAATATGACCTGAGGCCTTGAACCTCAGTCCCTCCCCATGGGGCTGGTGCACCAGGGGAGTGAGGTGTTGCAGTTGGGGGGTCACATTTGAGGATTGGGGTTTTTAAGAGGGGCTTTTTTTGCTTCTTGTGTGGTCTCCAACTGATTTTTCTGTAGGTTAGTGGGGAACGTTTTTTGGGTTGGGGGCCATCTCTGCCATAAATGAAGACAATGTTAAAACCTTCTTGTGTTGGATATAATATTTTACTTTATTTAAAATGAAGCCTGGCCAACAAGACTCTCATTGGGAACCAGCCTCCATTTGGCAACAGCATCCAGTCCCCGGCCCTGCTCTTGGGGCAGATTCCCCGCAGTACAGTCCCCATTTGGCTGCAGAAAGGGCTGGTGGCAGCCTCCTTCCTGCTGCAGCATGATCTGGCTGCAGCAGAGAGAGGGAGTTGGCAAGCATAGAGAGCTGGAGCACAGCCCCCTAGTTCAACTTTTTTTTTTAATTTTCAGGAAATTCGGAATAAATCCAATGACTATCCTCATAGAGTTGCAAAATATCCAGAAAACAGAAATCGAAATAGATACAGAGATGTCAGCCCGTGTAAGTAAATATCTTTTAATCAGTGTGATTAAATATATAATGAAAATGTAGTTTGGTCTCTAGATTTGTTACTCATGATTTCTTTGAGAAGTATCTATTTAAGTTTATTTTAACCTTAGAAAATTTGGTCATTCTGTAAACTGGCTTGCATGATAAAATTTGTACCTGGGGAAAAGTAAGCCAGTGACTATTACGACCATTGTTACAGTGATAGGTAAAATGGTAGTTATAAACACAGTGTAAAAATACATAAATGTTTTTGAGCAAGCAAGATGGACTAACTTTAACCATGATTTAAATGAGCAAGCAGGCCACTTTGATTTACTCAAACTTCTATTTTATTTTGTATTTGTGTTTGTTTTCCTAAAGATGTTGGTTTTAATTGGTTGCTATAATTTGTTATTAATCAGTAGTGTTCAAAAACAGGGGCCCATTGTGCTAGCAACTAGGGGGCTGTGTCTAGACTGGCCAGTTTTTCCAGAAAATCAGCCGCTTTTCCGGAAAAACTAGCCAGCTCTCTACACTGGCTGTTTGAATTTCCGCAAAAGCACTGGCTTCCTACTGTAAGAAATCAGTGCTTCTTGCGGAAATACTATGCTGCTCCCGTTCAGGCAAAAGTCCCTTTTGCGCAAAGCTTTTGTGCAAAAGGGCCAGTGTAGACAGCTGAGATTTGTTTTCCGCAAAAAAGCCTCGATCGTGAAAATGGCGATCGGGGCTTTTTTGCAGAAAAGCGCATCTAGATTGGCACGGACTCTTCTGCAAAAAGTGCTTTTGCGGAAAAGTGTCCGTGCCAATCTAGATGCTCTGTTCCGCAAATGCTTTTAACAGAAAACTTTTCCGTTAAAAGCATTTCCGGAAAATCATGCCAATCTAGACGCAGCTGGGATGTAAAATTATGTTTAATTGGTTAACCAGTTAACAGATTAAAGGGGTGGGTGTTGGAGGGGGATGGACCCAGCCCAGCTGAAGTGCCTCCAGCCCCTCTCCCTTTCCCTCCTCCCACCACTGGGCTGGAGCATTCCTCCTGCTGCAGGCAGGGGCTGCAACAGCCAGTTGCAGCAGTACCTACTTATGGGGTGTCCATGCCCACTGCAGTCAGGGTCCTGTCTGGGGTGGGCCACCTGTGGTGCTGGAGCAGTCCCCTGCCTGTGTCAGTGAGAGAACTGGTGGGGGCTGGAACAGCTATCTGGCTTAATATTCCTATTGGGAAATGTGCTACAAACAGAGTGGTCCCTGCCCTCGAAGAGTTTACATGCTAAATAGACAAGACAGGCAGGGAGTGAAGGAAGGGGTAGAATAGGCAAGCAGAGTAAACAATGTTATGTTGGCAAATGCCATTTTAAGTTCCCGGATTCTTTCCGGGGGGAGGGAGAGGCGAGGAGGAGGGCATGTGAAAAGAGTTCTTAGAAGGGGATTAGTTAAAGGGAAAGCGACCGAGGGGATCCTAGCAGCAGAGGAAAACTGAGATGAAAAGCAAAATGCAGGACAATGTAGCACTTTAAAGACCAACAAGATGGTTTATTAGATGATGAGCTTTCGTGGGCCAGACCCACTTCCTCAGATCAAATAGTGGAAGAAAATTGTCACAACCATATATACCAAAGGATACAATTAAAAAAAAATGAACACATATGAAAAGGACAAATCACATTTCAGAACAGGAGGGGGATGCAGGGGGGGAGGAAGGAAGGTGTCTGTGAATTGATGATATTAGAGGTGGGGAGAGTGGGATGTTTGTGAGTTAATGGTATTAGAGGTGATAATTGGGGAAGCTATCTTGATACTGGGTAAGATAGTTCAAGTGTTTGTTCATTCCTTTTTGGCTTGACATGAATTTGTCGAATTTTAACATGAATGACAGTTCAGAGGATTCCCTTTCAAGTGCAGATGTAAAAGGTCTTTGTAGCAGAATGCAGGTGGTTAAGTCATTGAGAGAGTGTCCTTTCTGGTTAAAATGGCAAGAAACTGTTTTTTCTTTGTGATCTTGTCTGATATCTGTTTTGTGGGCATTAATCCTTTGGCAAAGTGTCTGAGATGTTTGTCCAATGTACATAGTAGATGGACACTTTTGGCACATGATAGCATAGATTATATTTCTGGATGCACAGGAATGTGTGTTCTTGATCTTATAACTCACTTGGTTAGGTCCAATAATGGTATCAGCAGAATGAATATGTGGACAAAGCTGGCAACGGGGTTTGTTGCAAGGGAAGGTACCAGGGTTGGTATTAGTGTGGTATGTCCTGTGGTTGTTGGTAAGAATCATCTTGAGGTTAGGTGGTTGTCTATAGGAGACTATGGGTCTGTCTCCCAGAGCCTCTTGGAGTATGGTATCCTGTTCCAGTATAGGCTGTATACTGAGATGAAAAGGTGAGAGGGAGGGGATCGATTGGACAGTGGATCAGTACAGGATAAAGAATGTCTAATCAAATATAGAAATGTCTCAATGTCCAGAGACAGCTGATTTGGCTCTTAGCTGCTGGTGTTCCTTTAGTTTTCCCCTCAAGATTAGGTCACATGGTGAGGGGGAAAATGGGAGTGTGTGGTGAAGGCAAAGCATGCTTGGGTCCAGATGCCACTCATAGTTCTAGGTCCAGTGAAATACTGGGAGAAAAGGAGTCACTGGCTAGATTCTCTGGCTGTAACTTCGTTGTATATTTTTGATGCCCTATAGCTATGCCTCCTTAAGTATTTAAATAATGGAGTTGATAAATGTATCTTACAGATTGTAAAAATGTAACACTTTGTTAGAAAATTGTGAAAATGTTTATTTCCTAAATTGATTTATCTGATGAAGTGAGCTTTACCTACAAAAGCTCATGCTACTATTAAGGATGTTAATAATCGTGTATTGGTGTAAATATGTAACTGCTGAAATATTTAGCATTTTTACGCAAGGCAGTAGGCGGGAGCTGGTCCTTGTGGGGAGCTGGCTTTTAAGCCGGCTCCCAGTGAGCACTGGCTTGTGCCTGCCCTACCTCTAATAGAGGCAGCAATGTGGGAGGGGGAAGGCAGCTCTGTGGGACCTAGAACATGCAGGGAACTGGCTTGAAAGCTGGCTTCCCATGTGTGCTGGTGCCTCTGTATCAGAGGCAGCAGCTTGTGGGGCAGGCAGCCCCATGGGAGCATGCATATGTGGGGAGCTGGCTTAAAAACTGGCGCCCCACAAGTACCAGCTCGTGTAGTCCCTCCCCTCCACTCCTTCCCTTCTTTCCTCCCCCTGTTTGGCCAGGCTTATCGGTTAATCATGTAAATCAATGATTTTCAAACTGGGGTCTAGTGGTCCATAGATGCTTGCAGCTTGAGCTTGCAGCTTACTCATCTCTGCAATGGGGAGCCCGTGCTGGCGCTCCAGCCTCATGCCTCCTCCCCTAAGATTGGCATGCCAGGGGGGGGGGGGGGGGGGAGAAAGCCCGGGGCCTCCCTGCTGGATCTGTCTCATGGGAAAGAAGTGGAGCCAGAAATGACTGAGTGCTACTGTTTCCCTCCCCCGACTGGGGGAACAGCAGTTCATGGACTGTTGCCTGTAGGCTTTCCCTGCTGCTCCCAGAATCTGGCCAACAGGATCAGCGGGAGCCTGTGCTTGGAACATGATGCTTAGGAGTGATGCAGAGTGTGAAAACAGCTAAGTGCTCCCCCAGCCCCTCATGTACTCCCCCCTGCTGAAACCCTGCACCCCTCCCCCCGGCCAGATGCCCCTGGTCAGACACTTCACCCCCAGCCTGCTACTGAACCCGCCTTCTGGCCAGACACCCTGTCCCCAGCTCACACTTGAATCTTCCTTTCTGGCCAGAATCTGCACCCTTCCTTGCTCGTGCCCCCTCCCCCTGGCTAGACACCCTATGCCCAGCCTGCTCCTGTACTCTGCTTCCCAACCAGAGCTCACATGCTCCACCTCCTGTCCAGATCCTGCATCATCATCCCTATCCCACTCACTCACAGCCCTGTCATGCACACTGAGCCCATCATTTTTGACCTTACCCCAGAGCCTAGGGGATCTACAAAATCCACTAACCCCAGAACCTCAGTTAACCAAAAGTTAATCTGGCCTACGGGAAGCTCTGAACCTCAGTCCTGCCTGTCCCTTGTCCTTTTCCCCTCTCTTCCCCCATGGGGCTGGAGCGCCAGGGGAGTGAGGGATCTCATTGGGGGCCACGTCTGTGAGGGTTGCAGGAAGGGGGTGGAAGTGATTTTTTTTTTTTGCTTCAGTTGTATGGCTCCTGAAGGATTTTTCTGTGGGTCAGTGGCCCAGACGCAAAAAGTTTCCCCACCCCTACCATAAATCAAGACCATGTTGAAAGCTTTTGTTGCATATAAATGAATATTTTACTTGAAGTTTGGTAAACTAACATGAGAGAGTTAAAGGACTTAATTGGTTTAATAATTTTGATTAATATTTCTTTTCTTACTGCTTAAATTAAACCATTCTCCCTAACTGCAGCACTAGCCCTGGCTTGGATGTAATTATATAATTAACGGTGAGTTTCTGTTGGCAGCTGGTGGTCCTTGGAAAGGTTTGTATTGAGTGGAGTGAGCCATGGGCCAAAAGTTTGAGCCATTGCTGTAAACATTTGCATGCTAACATCCCTAGATACTATATATTTTTGTTTGTTAGTCTCTAAAGTACCCCAGGACTACTCGTTGTTTTTAGATGTATTCTGTTACTTCTGAATTGCATCAAGCTGCATTTGGATTGAAACTGGAATTACATTAATGCAGAGAACCAGCATCTTAAAAATAGTTTTTGTTAATTACTACAGGGCCCCATGCTCACTACACTTGCCAGCCACCCTCTCAAAGCGACTAGTTGAGTCTCAACTCAGCTATTGATAGTCGACTAGCAGCAGCCTTCCCTATTTTCCTCCCTCGTCCCCCCCCACTGCCTCTGATAGCAGCACCCTGGAGACAATGCTGGGGGGAACTGGCTTTTAAGATGGCTCCCCCCAGCACTGGCTCAAGTCCCTCCCAACTTGCTGTGTCTCAGAGGCAGCAAGGGGGGG